AAAAAAAAACAAAAACGATAAAATTCAGAAACCCCACATACAAAATATTTTTGCAAAAATACAAAACAGAAAGCCATATGCATAGTATTGCGAAATCTGATCATTGCAGGTTTTTAAAATATTTTGCTGTGGTCAGAACATAACATGTGTGTCTAATTGTGAGTACAGTGTGCCCATGCTTAACAGTAAGTTAACAAGTCACAAGCCCAAGAACCTCGTCTGTTTTCCCGTGCCCACAATGCCAAACCATTCTCTCCTGAGTGTGGAGAATGCCATCTTCCTGGTGCCTTTTGGGATCTTTTGACAACTCCCAGTTTTGCTCCCCTTCACATGGCTTTTAAAAATGGTTTCAGCAACAAACGGATGAGTGGACTGGGTGTGAATGTTAGTGACAGCTTAATGGAAAGGGACATCTCCCTCTTCTTTCAAAAATGCGTTTGCTCCTTCACCCAAAACATTTCCTCTCCCCATATGGGGCTTGCAGACTTGAATCCAACCCACCTTTATGGGCCGCATTAATACGGAGACAAAACACACAGGTATGCCTTAACTTGGCCATGGGGTAGCACTTGTAAGTGACGGTGTCTGCACCTGCTCCCGTAGAAACGAGCTCATTCAAGTCGCCTGCTGATTCTCAGGTTTTCCCTTATTCTATAGCATTAGATGGGACAGCCACTCCATCTCCAACTCCTGTGTGATGTTTGAAATTTCCCTAGGAATTCTGCCTTGTGTGAAGATCAGAGTAGTTACTTTGCTGACAACCTGAATTTTTATGTTCTATTTGTTTCAAGTATGAATTTTTTTTTTTTTTTTGGTCATCTTTATTGTACCACTTTTGTGTTAGTTTATTTTGAAATGGAAGCATGTAATTAATTGGCCGGGACGTTTTTAAGGTTTGCAATTCTGAGTGTCCGGTTTTGAAAAAGTCAGTTCTTCATCCGTCACTCTTTAACCAAATTGAGGTAGGACCCTACCACCATCACGTAGTGCAGAGTCCTGAAGTGAGGGAGATTCCAAAAACAAAACAGAGTGTGTGAGATGGGCTTGCTTCTAGAACGTGCTAAATGCTCTATGGAAAACAATGTGATTTTTGTTCTGTTTGTTCTGATGCAGCTTCCATGAGGCGGTCTCAGGCCGTACCTGCAGATACACGCCCGGAGATATGGATTGCACAAGAGTTGCGGCGTATTGGAGACGAATTTAATGCATATTACCCAAGGAGGGTAATGATGTTTTATTTACCCCTTCTCCTCACACCCTCCCCCTCCCCACAATTTTTTTTTTTCCCTAAGGTGACTAGTAATAATGGAAATGCGAGGTATTACCTGTGTGTGACCCACCATTGTTTCTCCTTTCCCATTTTCCATTTGAAAATGTTTTATGGATGAATTTAAGTCATGGTAATTAAATAGGATATCGTACAAGGTGGCAAAGGGACATCCATGCTAAGAAAGGGGTTATGGACCTGCTTTGACATACTCCCACATAAATAGTAACGTAATTTTCAATCCGTGTAGAGGGTTTCTGCATTCCTTTTGGGCAGTTGGGGTCAAAGGTAAAGACCTATTAAAATTTCCATCCTCACTCAGCCCAGGGGGGCGATGCCAGCAGTAGTCCTGCAGTGTTTGACGGGCAGAGCGGGAGAGCCACCCCCTTCAGTCCATGGTGCTGTCCTTGAATGCTGTCAGGAGGCCATTAACCAGGAGTCTGGGATCTGGCGCATAAAAGTTTTATACCCTGAATTGACTGCCACTTACATGTTAAGGTGTGCTGTTGATTTAAAAAAAAAACAAACCAACCCTATGTCTTCTTCTGTAGACACAGTGTATTTTGTTGGTTTTGCCCATTGGCAATAGCCACTACCATTTGGACACCTTTTGCCCATGGAAGACTTCCAAAATGTGTAGGCTTTAACTCTGGGAGTTAGGGCTGGTATGAGCGTATGTGAGTACTTCCTGTAAAGGGTACGCTAACAAAGATGTGATAGAACGTAATTTTGGCTTGTTTACATTTTTCCAAACAACCAAGTATGAGGCTATTTCTGTTGATTTATCCAAAAAGAAGACACATCTTATTTTGTAGAAAAAGCTGTAATTGTTACTGTCATTCTTTCTTACTGTGTTACTGGTCTTCTGGCTCTTTTTTTTCTGAACGTTACAGCTTCATATAAGTATCCCTTCAAGACTTTTTTTTTTGAACCTTTTTTTTTTTCTGGAAGGATAGGTCATGCTTAGAATACCCCAGTGTTTGTGTCCTGCTTTAAACGCTGGTCTCTTTTTTAGCTAGCTGTTGCTAAGTAAGTGGATGTTACCTGTTAATTGCTTTGAGTCCTTCTTGTTTTCCTGTCCATGCAATGCCTTTCAAGCTTTTTTTAGACACACATGGAGACATCCTCCCATTTTGCAGAGGGTCTTTCATTTATTCCTTCAGTATAGGGTCTCTGTAAGGGAGCCAGGGATGCTCTGAAAACTCACATTGGATCCTCTTCATACCTTGCTGTGGGTCTGTATGTGTGCACACGTGTGCGTGCGTGTGTGTTTGATGGGAAATGTGCTGTAGTATGATTCTATTATTAAATGAGAACGGTCACATTGATGAATGGGTTTAGGAATTTCTTATATGGCCGTCTTTAGCTGGCAAGAATATCCAGCATCCTACATCTGCCATTTACGGTGTATAAATTCCTTTCCAACCTAGCTCTGAAACGGTAATTGTTTTTGCAAGGTTGATTGTTTCGTAATTTGCCAGTACAGTTACTCTCCCCCTATCCCCAGCTCCTTTGCCTTGGTTTCCCTGAAGGGATTTTGGTGTTCCTGTGTGTGACTGGACTTTGACCCCTCTTGGTGGACCAGGAGGGACTGGTCAGAAGCAGGGCCCCAGTGCATTCATGATGACCTCATGCTGGGGTAGGGAGGCTGATTCTGACTGAAGAGGGCAGGCTGATTCTGGGGGGCATTCCGTAATTCAGCAGGAAAAGATGGCAGAGTGGCCTCTCACGATGAGCCTAAGCAGCGAACTGACCAGCGTGCGGGGCCTCCTCTTTCTGCGTCTTGAAGGGGCTCATAGATGTCCTTGGGCCAGATCTGACGTGGAGGGGGCCGCCCAAGAGAGGAGGCTATTGGGCCCTGATGCCTTCAGAGTCCAGAAGCTCTGGACACCAAGAGCCCACACAGCTCCACTCTGAGGGACTAGATGTCTTGTAAGGATACTATGTATAAGTTTCTCTTTAAACTTACACAGGCTATTGGTGACTCTATAAGGTTCCCCCCTGGGCCTGCCCAGATGGACCTGGTTGATGCACCTCCATGGTGGCCTGTGTGATCAGCGATAAGACATGGGCCAGGTGTGTCGTGGGGGTTGGTGCACAGCATAGGCCGACGAGGTGGACAGTTCTAGTCACGTGCAAATGGGACACAAGCTGTGGGGTTGTTTTCATTGCCTTGCCTGTCCATGGGAGGTGAGAGAACAGTGTCTAGCAGGTTCTATCCTTCCTCCCCTCCTCTTCTCCCAGTGTTATTTCACAGTTTAATGTTTAAGAGGATATTGGAGATGGCCATATCTATCTGTTCAAATGAGATGCAACCTGTTTGTTCACAGTGCTTTTGGTAAAATAAATGTAAGTTAATTTCATCGCAGGATCACACTATTTTCTGGTTGTAAATCTTATTTTGCATCTCTTTAAAAAAAAAAATGAACCAGTGTCAAAATGCGGTCACTAATAATTTAAGGGACTCTAGCTACCTAAGTAGGCTGGGGATATTGGGGGAGGTGTAGGGACAGGCTCTAGGTTATAACCTGATTTTTCTGTAATGAAGGCAAATATGTTCTCCAGATTTTATGCAAATAACCCGTTCAAAACACCAGATTCTGGATAGTGACACAGTGACCCCCAAAGCTACAGACACCTGTCTTGATATTGCTGGTTAAAAATAATCCCGAGTCTGCAGTGTCACTGGCGGTCCATTTATTGGGGGTAGAAATCTGGGGAGGAAATGGGAGGCCGTAGCAGAAAATCGGGCATTCAGATCACCTGCCGTCTTCACGGTGGGAGGGGTGGGGGGGTTACTTCTTGTTGAGCAGTGTACAGCCCCCGCCTTGCTTTATGATGGTTGCTTTATAATGGATTTCAGCATGGTAAATATTGAGTGTCTTTATTTGCTTAATACTATTACAGTAGCTTTTCTAAAGTGTTGGTCTTTCACTGCCATGAGCCTTGCGAAGCCTGACAGGATATTTTCCCATTTTTTCAGTTAGAGCAATAGAGGAAGGTGTCGTATAGTTGTCATGTGTTCAGTCCACTTAAGGGCAGTGGGGAAGCGTATGAAACGGAGCTGTGGAGTCTGAGCCCTTGAAGGAGGAGATGAGAGAGGCACAGGTGAGCGCAAAGTCCCAGTGCATGTTTCCCCTTTTTCTTTTGTGACTCCATGTACTTGCCCCCAAACGACCCCGCCAGGGCAGAGTGACCGTGTCCCCCTCCGTCTGGTAAGTCTGACCGCTCCAAGTCTCTGGCGTATTTTTGTAACTTTCTGTTTCGAAATAATCTCAGACTTCCATCTAAAAGTTGCAAGAATGGCACAGAGAACCCTCTTCTACCTGCCACCCGAGTTCCCCACGGTTCCCGTGTTGCCACATTTGCTTTAATGTTCCCCCCCTTTTGTACCTGTGCACATACCATTTTCTGAGCTCTTTGGGAATAAATGACAGGTGTGATATTCTTTCACCCTCAAATACATCAGTGTGTGTTTCCTAAGAATGAGAATATTCACTTACATAACCGCAGTGTAATTCTCAAAATCAGGAAATTAGCAGTGTGACAGTACTGTTTTGTAATCTGTGGACTTCATCCAAACTTTACTAGTTGTGCCAAAAATGTCCTTTATAGTAGCCAAAAAAACAAAACAAAACAAAAGTTTTTTTCTGGCCCAGGATCCAGTTTAGAGTCATGCGTTAAATTTAGTTGTCTTATTGCTTTGATGCCATTAATTCGGAACCATTCCTCCGTCTTTGTGACCCTCACATTTTTGAAGGGTCAGGACACTTAGAGAGTCTCCCTGAATTGGATTTGTCTGATGTCTCCTTGGGATGAGATTCCAGTTTTGTGTTCTGGGCAGGAATATGCAGGGGCAACATCGTGTCCTCTCCCATCCATTGCTTCGGGAGGCACGCAGAGGCCATTTGTCCTGTTATTGGTGATGTTGACTCTGGTCAAAGGTGGGTCCTACCACTCTAAAGTCAGCATGTGTCCATCTGAAATGGAAAAGAAGTGTGTGTAGAGGATGAAGAACTTCCTTTCCCCATTGTATATGTTTATCCCATTAATCAGCCTAAATTCATGGGTCCCTGTTTAATTTCAACAGGCTTACTCTGCATTATTTTGAGTACTTATTTTGATCCTCAGATTGTCACAGATCTGGCCGTGGCAGCCCCCTGGTGCATTTTCACCTGTCATTAAGCATTAAAGGGCCTCGGTCGTGCAGGCACATCTAGAACGTGGCACAAGAAAAAACCCAAGGGCCCGTGGAGGTGGTGGAGCTCCCAGAAGGCATCTGTTGCTGAATGGCCTACACCCACACGCAGCCCTGACCCTTCCAGCCTCCTGTGCCTGGGCTCTCGGGGAATGCTGGGGAGCGTGGAGGTCAGTGGGCTAGTAGGGAAGAAGATTTCTCAGAGACGCTAGATCTCTGTTTTATGAAGAGGGTGAGTGGCTCGTGTGTAGCTGAATGGTGGGGCCTGGAACACTGTGTGCTTACCACCCGTTCTCAGGGGTTGGTGTCCACTTGGATAGGATTCTTAACCGTGGGCCAAGGATGCAGTCCAAGTCTGTGGAGCATGTGCTGGGCCCTTCAGAACATCAGAACATGTGCTCTTAGGGTAATTAGACCCATCCTCTACCCCACATCTGCTCCCCCCGCCCCCCCCCATTACCAGGGCTGTGATCGTTTACCTTTGGTGGCCTCCCCCAGGCCTTGTAGTCAGGTTGCACAGTTTGCTCTGGTTGACAGGGACTTGGGGATGTCCTGGCCGTGGCCTGGGTGAGCAGCAGCACGTGAAGCTACATCAGACCCTCTAGATGGGCCAAGAAGTGAATGAAAACCTTTTCATTGTTTTGATCCCAAGAAACAGTGTATCTTTTGTTTACACTGCCTGCTTCCTACCTCTTCTGTCCCAGGCATGTGCAGGCATGAGTAGACTGAACTGCAGGCCAACTGAAGTTTAGCACCAA